AGTCGGTGCAGGGATACGGGGTGCACTCTCTGGGTGGTTCAGAGAGGTCTCTTTGGGCTCAGGAGATCAACAGGGTTTGTTTTTTTTCCTTCTATAAAAAGAATAAGCAGAAGAAGTCACCTGCGCTGTGCATGATGCAGCAGTCGGGGAACCCTGACATGATGCTGTGTCCAGAAGGACACTGAGCTTCATCTGTGTGCCCACGATGCCCCTTCTTTGATTGTGCCCGCTGCTTTGATGTCCCCATTCACCTGCAGGGACAGGTCATGTTCTCCTCTGCTCAGATACACCGGATGAGTCAAGACTGGGGTCAGGGCAGCCAACACGGTTGAAACTGTGCTAATGGTCCCTCTTGTTCTAGGTGAAAGCTTTAGGACTCACCCGTGCTGATTGACTTAAAGTGCAAGGAAGTAGATTTTGAGGAATACTTCCATTTCAAGACGTGTATGGCTTGTTGGGGTTTGTTTCAGAAGGCTTACAAGTAATTTGTACAGTCCTGTTGCCTGCTTGTGCCTGTGGACAAGTTTTACAGAGCTGGAACTATAATTGTTGTTATTCCTTGCTTTGCAGAAGGGTTGTTTGGATAGTGGTGGGTGTGAGCACTTAATGAACATAAGCTCACCGGAGCACAGAAGTCTTCCTCAGGAGGACTGGGGTGAAGAAGGGAGTGTGGGAGAGGAGCTGTGGCAGCACAGGGAGTCGTGGATCGGTGGCACTGGAGTTGTTAGAAACTTCCCTTGAACAAGCACAGCAGCAGGGCCTTGAGTGATGCCACAAGGCGTCATCTCACCTGTTTCTAAAGAGCTACTCGAGAGGAAAGCTGCTCTGAATCTCTAGACCCTGCTCCTTGCTGAAATGCACTGTTGTGTAAGGCTGAGCTGCTCTTAGGGCAGCGTAAGGCAGTTGGCATCTTCTCCGGGTAGTTCCAGTCACGGGTGAAATGCAGGTTTTGTTTGAGTGCCTTACTATAATGTTTCACTTGCCTTAGATGTAATTTCAGCCAGTGCTTTGTCTCTGGAGCTTCTTCACTGAGCTTTGCCTTGATCTAAATTAAAACATCCTGAGCTATCAGAGTGTCGTCCAGGAGTCCTATAATCTATGAGAAACAGGAGCTAACGTTTTGCTGCGGCTCCCCAGGAGCTCTGGTTTTGGCAGATGTTCCATGTCTGTAGGAGGTGATGTTTGTCTGCACAGACCTCATGCACTGAGGCAGTTTTGGGGTTGGATTTTTTCCCTTTATTAATGCTTCTGGGGGAGTTTTGCAAGAGCTGTGGCCTTTCGCATACTTGCAGGTTTTTGATGTTAAACTCGTTGCATTTCTTGGCTTGGTGCTGCTGCTTTTATGATTGACCAATCTTGTGTTTCGTTGCATATCTCAAACTCGTTGAATAATCATGAGGACCTTTGTCCCAGATTTCCACAGCCAACGCTGGAGGGGGAAGGGAGAATTGTTTTAAAGAAAGCTTTTTGCTGAATCTCTCATGACTCAGATAAAGTCCTCGTTTATAGTTCTGCTTTTCAGGGAGATTTAAAACATTCAGTTCCCCCTCGCTTGAAGAGACACTTCCTTTTCTCACACAGACTAACAACAGAAGGTTGTTATTAGCCTGTCTGCAGTATTTAACCAGTTCCCATGTAACAAAATCCCTTTCTGTCTTTTACTTCTTGAAATGCTGTAGCTCGGGGGATAAGAAAAGCTTTGCTTTGGCTCAAGAAGCCATCTGTGTCACTCTTATTCCTCCGTAAGTCCCATAAAAAAAAGAATGTAGAAGTAATAAAAGTTCCTATGTGGAAATAAAAGGAATAAAACCTGGGGTAATTAAGGGAAAAGGCTAACTTCTGCCAGTCTGATCTGTTACGGGGCTATACTGAATAGCTGGGAATAGAATTGAGCGGTGGGGTTAAGAGCATGAGTGGACTAGAAATATGATCTAATGAGAAGACGTTAGATGATACAGCAGTCAAAGCACTTTAGTCCATATGGGAGTAATTCTTACATACTGAAACATAAACAGGCACATTTTGTATACATGTGTTCATCCTCTGCTTGTAAAGATGTGTCTTGGTGTTCATCAGTTTGAAATCAGTTCAGGGCAGCAGGCGTGCTCCAGAGCTCTGTGGTTTATGCCTGTTGTGCTCTCACAAGCTTCAGGGACTGGCTTTGGCAAAGGAAGGATGCGCGTGGTGGGAATTGCCAAGAGTCCTGAGGCTTGGCGCAGGGCTGGTGCTCTGTCCTGTGTGGACATGCAGGGAGAGAAGGTTCTGGGCAGATCCAAGGGCCCACAGGTTTCCATTCCCTGCATACCAGAGGGTCACATTCCCTGCTGTGCTGTCAGACCTGCTGGAGATCGGCAGGTTATGCCAGACCTTCAGGAAGGAAAGTGGAGACAGCAGTGGTGCCATCTGGAATGACACAAATGGGCACCATGGTACAGTTGTTGAACTAGAGGTTTCCATGTTCACCCTTTGGAAGGCAGAAGGGTGTATTGTTCTGCTTTACCAAAATAATCCCAGATCATGCTAGACATTGTCCTCTTTCTCCAGCTACCTCAAAAATGTGATATGTGAAGGTTAGTTAGTTTTCTGTACTGGGATGATAAAATGCTTGTCACTTTCATTCCTGTTCTATGCAGGTTTTCTCTCTGTAACAATTTAAAACAACAAGGAGGAGAAATTGAGCAGAATATATATTTTGTACATACAGACTTCTGTTTGTATTGGGATAATGAGCTTTAATGTCACATTTAGAGCTTCTAAGTATTTGAAATATACACGTGTTCTCAGAGGAAAGGGTGTTTAATAACACTCGCAGCTCTCAAGTGAGCAGAGTATGTTTATATAGGTATAAACAAGACCAGATAGGGAATCAAAGCTCCTGAGTACAGAGTTGTGAGGCTGTGGGATGAACCTGCCTCTACTTGCAGGGAGAAGCAAGTGGCAGGAGAGAGTACAGGAGATCGTTTTGGCTTCAGAAACTCTTGCTAACGTGTTGATTTTGTAAAGAAAATATTAGCACATGGGTCCATCCCACTTCAGTTTTCAATTGTGTGTTATTCCCTGCAAGAGGAAGACAGCTTAAAAATAAATAAAGGAGTGGGAGGACACCAAATATTGTTGCTGTAATAATTCCTGTTCCCATAAAGCTTTTTCTTCTATAACAGGGGTGTAACCAAGTGAGGCTCTTGAAGTTGTTGTATTTGTCGCAGTTCATCTTTGTTCAGGGTTCTAGTAATGCTGTTAGGGAAGTGGGAGTGCTCCTGCAGGGGAACCGTGCTCTCTCATCTGAGAAACACCCTTTTGGCAAGTGAGGTCTGAAATTATATTGGTGGTGGCCTTGCAAGTACTTGTAACTTTCCAAACATATTTGGTAGTGGTGTGTATTTGGTATATATTTGTTTGCTGTGATGCTGTTGCAAGGGCTGACGATGTTTTGAAGAACTCCCCTATAATTAGACTTGCAATTTCCATGTTATGATGCATTAAAAACATGGGGCAGATTTCAGGCTTACATAGGGTGGCATCTCATTACTAGCAGCTAGAATTCTGTTATTTCCTGTTTCGCCATCTCTTACCAGGTGATATAATTGCAGTGAAATGGAAGTAGGATGGGGGAGCTGCATCAGTGTCTGGATGAGAGCCACTGCGGGATTTAGTGTTAGTAATTCATGAGGTGCCAGCTCTCCTTTCAAAGCAAGGGGTGCTCTGCAAGTGCAGTGGCTCCAGAGCCTACACATAGGAAATTACTCTTTACCCCTTCAGGTTTTGAACTGTCTGGAGAACATAGAGGAACAGTATTTTTCACTTGTGGTGCAACAGTATGTTCAGCTGGGCTTGTGGCATCCTGTCTGCCTGAACTTGCCTTGTGGTTTTTAGAGCGATGGTGTTATTTTGGGCTGTGAATGTTGTTCACAGTGTGCGGTTTAAAGAACTCAAATATTTCATCTTGGAGTCTGCATTTTGATTGTTGTTTGTGTGAAAACTGTAGGGAAGTCTTTTCTTTTTTGATAGAAGTTATATTAGTGTTCAGTTTAATGTGGGAAAGGTGTAGGATAGAGTGCAGGAAATGCTAGTCTAGCAAGACTGATACAGTTCTACAGATGCTGCTTAGTGTAATTGTAGCTGAACCTGCCATAATACTTCTTGTTCAGGTCTTCTACCAGTCGCCTCTTCCCACCCACCCTCACCAGTGGCTGGTATCAGGCAGGAATCCATTACAGAGGTGGATATCCCACCACACGTCTTGACTCCAAGGCATATGATTATTGCTGGTAGGTGTGAGGATATTGGCAGGCATCACCCCAGGCTGGGTCAGTCCCTCAGGAAGAAGCTACAGCGCAAGCTGTCCGAGTAAGAAGGTAAGATTAAACTGCAGCAGAGGATGTCCTCTTCTAAAGTTGTAATAAAATGGAGTGAGGATGCTCTGTGCCATGCCTAGAGCATTGGGTACCAGTGTTCAGCAGCTTAATGCTTTGCAACAGCAGTAGCTGGTCTTTGAAATAAAGCTGAAGTGGCTTTCTCCTGTTTGGAGCCTCCAGTACCTTGCTGGGGTCACTGTTATCTCATTCACTGGGGCAAAGGCCGTTAGAGCTGGCAGGCTAACTCAAAGGATACTAAGAAATGAAAATAGCACATGATTTTAGAGCACTGGGTCACGGTATACCGTGTTCAAACAGCACTGCCAGCAGCAGGATTCAATCAATAACTACTGGGACACTCACTGTTTGTGATGCTGGTCTTCTATCAGTGATGCTTCAGTGACTTCTTGGGCAATGTACAGCTGAGGGAAGGGTATGGTTGCAGAACAGTTCTGGAAGGCTGATACCACCTTCACTGACAAGCAGTAGCATAGACCTTGTTGGGGAGTCGTTAAAAAGTTGAAGACTTCAACATTTATTTACTGGGGCAAGAGGTAAGAGACCTCAGAATCCCTTTGGTCTGATGGTTGTGCACCTGTGGAGTCTGTAAATAACTGGTATTGCACAACCAAGGCAGTTTTCTCTTGGAAATTCGGTATTGAAGTTCACTTTGGTGCCTGGTTCAAGTGATCTTCAGCATAACGGCTCCTAACGTTGCTGTAATAGAGTGGAGAGAAAAACAAGCTGCTAATCTTTGCCACATTTTAAGAATCGCTATGTTTCCACCTGCCAATGCAAGGAGCTTTTGGCAGAACAGGGCAAAACATTTTACTACCATGAACTCTTCCAAGTAGGTCTCTGCCTCAGTGGTCTGAAGAAAGTGTTTGTTAATGGACACAAGCACATCAGTGTCTGGAAAGCCAAGTGTGGCAAAGCCTCATGCCAAAGTATAGGGCGTAAGATAGATGGAGACGCCAACTCACAAGTACAACGTGGTCAGCTGGAAAATAATGACTTATTTAGTAATGACTATAAATCACTGAGCTAGATGCTTGGCTAGTTAGATTTTAGTTCTGTGATTCAAGATGAAAGGCTCTAGTAGCTGGTGCAGAGATGATTCTTTGTGAATAGGCAAGTCTTTAGTAATGCAGGATTTGTATTCATTGTATTTGTTTTCCTGGTAAGTGTCATCATATGTAGGTCTGTGATAACCACTGGAACTTTTGGCCTGTATGAATTTGGTAATGATCATTGACTGTGTAGTTCCAATATGCCAGATCCATTTTACTGAAGCTTCCTGGCTGGATTAGCCTCTGTGGTCATCACAGAATTGCTCAAACATTCCTTAATCTGTACCAAAGTACAGATTTTGTGGAATAAATACAGAGTTAATTATAAATGTTAATTGCAGGTTTTAATCCAGGTGATACTGATAACTATAGCAAGTTAAATCTCTTGTGTGAGTGGTATGAATTTATTAGCCACAATTCTGAAGGGAGCTTCTGTAATGATGTAAAATTGATGGGTTTATTGGAGCAGTGCAAGGAGGGCTGGTGCCTGTGCCTCAGGTGGTGGGAGGCTGGAACAGTTTGGGGAGTAAGTGTGAGAATAATTTTGAGGGTTATGAAGTCTGAAATATGCAATTTTTCAGACATGAAACCACAAGTGGATGTATCAAAGAAGATGTTATGAAATGACTTGAATACAGTTATAAATTGGGGAAAGCTGCATTTTGTTTGCTCCCATGACCTTAAAAAAATAATGATGAGATGAATTCATAAGGCAGTGTAAGGGCTGGCAGTTGAAGTTACACAAATGCAATGAGAGTGCAGCTTGTATGAATGAGCATCGTTCACCTCCATAAGAACTTCCGGTTCTAATTCCAAACTAGATGCTCTTCCATGGAGGTAAGTGGTGTCTCAGTTGAGTTTTACCATGGGAATCTGGGATTGGAAGGCTATTGCTGGTTTCGTTTATTCAATGTGTGGTTTTCGGTGATCCTCCAACCTTAAAACATACACTGGGATGTAGTTGTAGTGTGAACTGTTACCAGACTGAGGGCTGTGAGATTCCTGGAGGCAAAGGGTTCATGCTAAGGAGATGGGGCTGGCAGACAAAGGGAAACAGTGGCATTTCCACATGTGAGACCATGGACAAGGTGGATGTGGAGCTGGGACACACGGGAGTTGTGTTTCTTATGGGGCAGATCAAACAACTTTCCAGTACAAATTGAAAAAATTAAGAGCAAAACACGCTATATTAATTATTTGTAATCAGGGGCAGAGGGGTTAATCAGGGGGGTAAAGGTGAGTCTTTTCATTTCAACCTTTTTAATACAGACTAAAACCTAAAAGTTTACATCCCTAAACATCAGAAGGGACCCTGGGGAAGCAGTTTGCGTAACTCAGCTCAGGATTTGGACTCACATCAGAAGCATGGGTTGCCTCCAAATTCTTCTCCCGTGGGGCTGCAGGAGCTCTGGGAACTCCTCCAGTCACAGCAGAGCAGCAGGGTGTGGGCGAGGTGTCCCTGCTGCGTTTTGTGCTTTCTTCTGTTATTTACACACTGCTTTCCTCCAGGTAACCAACTGAAATTAAGACTCTTTCAATAATAACTGTTGGTAGAGATAGAAAAATAACACAAGTGCTGTTCCAAAAACTCTGGGCTGAGGTGGGTAGGAGCCTGGAAACTATTGCAGTCTTCATTTAATAAGCACGTTGGTATTTTCTTCCTTTTTTTTGTTTTCATTTTGGAAATCTTGGTTGGTTTGGTGTGTATTTCAATTTGTGTTCCAAAGATTATGATGGATATTAGTTAGTTCCCAGTGAGAAGTGAACAGTCTCCAGTCTCTCTCAAAACCATATTAAAATGTAATAAGGGAGGAAGAGGCATTTTTTCCTGTATGCCTGTTTCTGTAGTTCAATTTCTCTTAAATGGGAAATGTGGATTTTTAATGGCAAACTTCATTATATGCAGGGAAACCAAGTCTGGGGTCTGTTCTCACTCCTTCCAAACCCAGCAGAACTGCAGTGGTTTAAGGGGGCTGCAGAGCCTTTGGAAGGGAGCTGGACCAAGCGTGTTATGAAATTATTAGTTACCATCACTCATATACATGTCAGGAAAATGCCCCGGCCATCCTCTGTGTAAGAAGGGGGTCACACATGAAGGTAGTGTTGGGACCTCAGCTGATGGCTTGGGGTGGGTGGCCTCTGCAGCCCGGCATCCCTTCCCATTGCTGTCCTGGAGCTGCATCTCTGCAGCAGGTCAGTTACTCATTCCTCTCGTGGAGGTTTTCTGTCCAAAGGGCACGTTTTCATCCAGACTTGGTCAAGGCTTTTAGGAGGGAGGGGAAATCCTGTTTATCAGAAGACTTTCATGTTCTCTCTCCCTGCAGTGGAATCTCGTGTGTGACAACGACTGGAAGGGACCCCTCAGCACCTCCCTGTTCTTTGTGGGCGTCCTGCTTGGATCTTTCATATCGGGACAGCTCTCAGACAAGTAAAGTATATACACCAGAGCTGCTGGCTCTGTTTGATGCTGTTTTGTGAGCAGCTCGGTATGTGAAGTGTCCCATGTCTGTCTGCAGCTACTGACATGTCTTTGTTCCGTGACCGTCTAATCTGAATGTACACAGAGTGTACAGAGAACACGTCCTGAACTAAAACAGGATGGTACAAAGATTATTGGTGGGGTTTATCTTTATCTGTGCATTTTTTCAGCAAAACTATGTCTGCAGCAAACTGGTTTTGTGCCAGGAACAGGTGTAGGAGATAAGTTTCATCTGGAAAAATCAGGTTAGTGATATTCTCTTCTAATTACTTTGGACCATGATCAGAGGGATTCCTGAGGCTTGTTTTCCCTTTTTTGAGGTCGGGTTTAAAACTCTCTTTGTAAACACCCATAGCTTCTCTTTCTCATCATCAAATGCAGCATCTATATCCGATGATCTGCACGTGTGGAAGCGCAAAGCATGAATGCTGCTCAGCTGTACCCCAGAGAAGCAAGGCTTTCTTGTCTATCAGTACAAACATCAATGAATTGGAAGAAGCCATTAGTTTTCATGATGTTGACAGTTTGGGTTTTTAGAGCTCTGTTTTCCTGACTCTCTCCCTGGGATTTGCTGTGCAGTACATTGTGTGCTGCCTTCCTGGCTGTCGGAGAACAGCATGTGGTCCTCTGATCTGCTGATTCACTTGCAGAGTTTATATTTCTTTGAAACACAATCTCTGAACCACGAATCCTGTAGCATCATTCAGGGCCATTGCGTGGTTGCCTGCTCATCAGGTTGGACCAACCTTGAGCTTGGAGGCAGTGATCCTTGAAAACCAAGCAGCTCCCCTGGACTTCTCTCCAGAGCCATAGGCCATGGATTTTTCCAGGCAGATCCCTGATGAGGCTGGTGTTTACTCTCCGAGTGATTCTCCCTTCTGCCTTGTTTCTCCCCTCATGATCCTGCACTTCGTCATCGCACAGCCAGCAGCTGTGGCAGCCTCCAACCCTTACATCCCCAAAGAGTTCTCCCTTGTTTCAGTGTCTTCTTTTGTCAGCTCCTCAGTCATCTGCATTATGGAAGTTGTCATGGATACATGCCAGAAACCTCCTGGGTCTTGTCCTTCAACCCACCCCATGATGGCCTTTGAACATAAGGCTTCCTGTGGGTATCTGAAGGTGGCCTCCTCTGTTCTGATCCCGTGGACTACAGTGGACACCCACAGTGATTCCAGTGTTGATCTGCCTGTTAGTCCCAACCCATAAGCACTCAGCTGACTCATCATCCATCCCCAGGCAGAGTTCTGTGCCTTCTGGCTGCTCTCACATTTCCACTCTTCACCATGAGGTGTCTCCCACCACTTCATCCTGGTGCTGCTGCAGGGCTCCAGTGCTTTGTTCAAAAGAACTCTTAGCCCTTTGTCTGCTACAAGGATGGCAAGTGTCTTAGATGGTAACTGTCCAACATGTGAAGCAGGAGCAGATCTCCTGGTGCCAAAAGCCATGAGCTTCCCACCTTCACGGTCCCAGGAGTCTCCTCCTGCAGGTCCTTCACGTGGTGGCACAGCTCCTCAGCAGGCACAGTCAAGGAGACCATCAGTGCAGCTCATCCAGTTACTCTCACAGGACATCAGCACTGACTCCTGCAACAGCTTGATGGGTTTCATTTAGCCAATTTCTTTTTTCTTCTTTTTTTCTTTAATACTTCATCAATAGAACTGCTGAAGTCTCTTAAATTGGTTCGTTTTTTACCAAGAAGAATGAAGATTGCAGCATGGGATCACTCTACTGGTAACAGCATCTTACACACCTGAGGTTTACCTCTCCTTCGGAAGCTTTCCTTCTTTTTTTTATGTGTTGCAACATGCTGCTCTGTGTCATGAACTGTGTGCTCCTTAGAAAAAGAGACTCTCAAACTCTTTCATTTTAAATAATTTGTGATTTTATTCCCTGTTCATCCTATCAGTAAGAAAAAAAGTGTCCCGGCATATACTTAAAGGCAACTTAACTAGCAGCCCTTGGAATATTACTGTCTCTTGGCCAGTGGATATTTTAATATATTTAGAATAGTTGTGCCTCTGTCATGTTTCCCGAACCTCTGCTTTCTGCAGATGTTTTGTGTCTCCCTGAGAATTCATATGAGTAATCTTATTTTTCTGTTGCTGAAGATTTCATTTATGCTGTTGTATAATAATATCTTTTCTTCCTTTTTGATCTGTCCACGGAAGGTTTGGCAGGAAGAATGTGCTGTTTGCGACCCTGGCGATGCAGACTGGCTTCAGCTTCATACAGGTCTTCTCTACCAGCTGGGAGATGTTTTCAGTGTTGTTCATGCTGGTCGGCATGGGACAGATCTCCAACTATGTGGCAGCGTTTGTTCTTGGTATGAAAGTCCTGCTGGGCACAGTATTTGTTCTCTCATCTTGCATTCTTCCTGCTCCTTTTCATTACTGGCTTAGGGTTGATTTGTTTGCCAGGCAGTGCTGTTAAGTGTGTTGTCACCACACATCCTCTCCTTGGTAGTTTCCAGTCAATAGAGGTGCAAACTGAATTAATTCTGTGGCTTGCCACCATAAAAAGGCAAAACTTTTATTTGAAACAAAGTCCATCCTCTAGTTGGAGAGACAAGATATGTAAGACGTGATTTTTCAGGGATTTCTGTTGTCCATTTTGGGGCCTAAATGCCTGATTGATTTAAAATATGTGAACACCAAACAACTGTGAGCGTTTTTGGCCAATAGCAAAATAGTCATAGAAGGAGATACAGGTCAGGAAACTAATCCAGGCATCTCTGAATTATCTTTAAAGAAGCTGTTTTCTCTGTAGAGATCAACCTGAACTTAACTCGTTTATGCAGTATGTTTTGCATTATGTTGGGTGGATTTAATTCCTCAAGTAAAATGTGAGATTCTAAGAACACAAAACCAGAAAAGTATTAGCTACTTCGAGCCACAGAAATACTGTATGGCCCAGTTCTCTTCCTGCTTTATGTATAATTACGTGGGTTGATGCAGGATCACTGCATGAAGCAGATCTGTGGTGCCCTAAAACTGGACAGCAGACTGCTCTAAACACTATAACTATCCCATATAGTGTATTTCAAAGCCAGTTATTAGAGGTGGTTTGGGTTCGTTATATGGTTGCTGTTAGGTTAAATACTGACCTTCCCTCTGCTGTTTTGAACAGGCACAGAAATCCTTGGCCAGTCGATCCGGGTGCTGTTCTGCACGCTGGGCGTTTGCATATTTTATGCATTTGGCTACATGTTGCTGCCACTGTTTGCTTACTTCATCAGGGACTGGCGGATGCTGCTGCTGGCGCTCACTTTACCTGGGCTGCTCTGCATCCCGCTCTGGTGGTGAGTATAAGTTTGACTTCAGTCTTTAACAGGTCCAGTCTGCAGATTTGTAAGGTCCAGGCTCCAACCAATCTTTACCAATGAAATTCAGGAATGGGCAGACAAAGAATGGGCACTGTGTCCTTTACTCTTCCCAGCTGCAAGTCTGAAGCTTTGTGGGTGATGTGACCCGTGCCTGAGTAGCCTACTTGTTCAGTTTCTGTAGGCTTCTGTAAAATGAAGTGATGCACATAAAAAGAATATAAAGAAAAAGTCAGTAACACTCATCCTTCTGCACGAGCTGAAATCCATGAGCTTTTAAAAGTAGGCCTGAACTAAGGGCAGAAGGAGAAACCAGTTGTTTTGGGAAGCTGGGCAATGCTCAGGTGATGTAGATATGGCACGCTGCAAATCAGTACTCCCACATCTGTGAAGCTTCCGTGTTTTCCTCCATAGTCAAATACTTTTAGGTGGCCTATAAAGTTCGAATAGTCCACATGGTGGTGGTGTTTCCTCACTTACTAGCATTTGTGATTACCGCCAGTTTCTCACAGAATTGAATGACTGGTGAATTCTGCTTTCTGACTTGCCTTCAGGTGACAGCATTTACAGTTACTAATTTTGTGTGTGTTATTCTTCAAGGATACACCTCTTAACGTACAGAATGCAGCTTGTGTAGTCACATTTCTGAATTCCTCTAACAGTTTCCCACAGTCTGAAGGTTTTGGTTGCTCTTTTTTCTCTGAGTCATTGCTAATTTCTTTAGTACTTCTAAAACCCACAGATCCATTTTGGTCTGTTCTTGTTCAGCATGCTAGTCTGGTCTTGTAAACCTCATTTCTGTTGTCATTGCTCTACTTCCTGCAAGATGTGGCAGGTTTTGAGATCTTCATGCCTGAAACAATGTGTATCGGTGCCTGCAGCAGTGCTTGTTACTCTCAACCTTTCCTACAGGGTCATTCCGGAATCTCCACGGTGGCTGATATCCCAGGGAAGGTTTCAGGAGGCAGAAGACATCATCCGAAAGGCTGCAAAAACTAATGGCATTACAGCCCCAGATGTGATACTGCACCTGAGTGACGTAAGATTGATTTAGCATCCACTGGACCTATTGGTGACCTTGTAAAGTGATTGATTTCCAAACATATGAATTGAGTTATGCCTGTGGTGTTATTACACATATCAGATGGGTAAAAGATCATCCTTTTCCTGAAAAGCAGAATACCCTTTCCCCACTTCATTAAGATTTGCAAAGCCCTTGGTATCTCACTCCCATGGGAATGCCAAGATGCATTCTTTTTGATCCAGTTTACAGCCACCTTTTTCCTTTAAAACTCTAGTTTTGAGGGGAGGTAATGAATTTGATGTACCTATTGCTTTATGATCTGAATACTAGGGCTGAATGGATTTTATACTTGCACATTGTAATATAGTTCTGTAAATCTGAACACAGGACTAATCCTGGTGAGTGGCACTGGAACTAATGTTATTCTAGTTCATATTCAGTTCCAATTTTTACTCCATGTTAAGGAAAGCAGAACTTAAGCCCTGTTAGGATGGAGTAGGTAGCAGTATCTTTTTTATCTTTTCTTCCCCATCTATTTCTTCCAACATGTTCTTGTTTCCTCTAGGTAGCTCCCCTTTGTCTGAGCTGTTTGGTGACCTTAAGGTGTAAAAGCAGTTCCACGCTCATTCAAACATGACCTCCAAAGGTCAGATAGACAAACTGTTTGCATAATCCAGGAGAATGGCACCTTTCTAGGCACATCTGTAGAACCTGTCTAGACAGTTGCTCAGTTGTGTTCTGGTTGACAATTGGTATTGTCTTGTCATTTGTGTGACAATCCCCTGTATGCTCACTTGCTTTTCAAGGCCTCTGTCCCAGGCTGAGGCAGATGGTTATCCACTGAGCTGCAGAGTGTTTGCTGTTAACATTGAAACAGCTTTGCTTGGGTTGAAGTTAACCAAGGACCAACAAACTGTTTGTCCAGACTTATTTGTAGATAGCAGGACAGACATCCTGGCTTTGCTGGGACGGAGAGAGAATGCCAGAAGAACCCCAGACCTTCTGAGGAGAGCTTTTTGCCTGGATGGTCATCAGAACATGGGTTTCTTTCCTTTTTTATTTCTCTTCTCATGCTGTAGCCATGAAAACTCACCCATTGCCAGAGCTGTGGCAGGAGAACAGAAATAGCTCTGGCTCCAACATCTGCTTAAGGTCACTGTACTTGGAATCCTCTATCTCCTGTTCTTAAAAAGAAACATTGATTTGTTTGCCATCTAAGAATGGGGTTGGATTACAAAGCAGCAGAAGGCAGGGGCAAGGAAACTCTGGACAAGAGGAAATGCTGACTTCTGCAGCAGGATGGGCTGGAGTTCATGGTGCTTATTTACAGATAAATCATTGCATGTTAACTTTGGGAAACATGGATTAACATTCCGACACTCAAAGGAAAACTAGCTCGATGAACAGGCGCTGTTTAAATGCAAAACTCCTGCCCATCTTTTTACTTTCTAAGGTAAAAATAATGCCCTGGACAAAAAAATCAGTGCAGAGCTTCTCTCCATCAGTGGTCTGTTTGCCCTGTTCTTGTGCCTGCTTTCTGCAGAGCTGTGAAGCAGAAGGCTCGCAGCCTCTGGAGTTTTCAGGAAGCATATTTGCACTGCAGAGAGGTTCTCAGGAATCTGGCTGGCTCTCAGCCCTCCTGCCTTTGGAACATGAGATGTGGATGGAGGAGCGACGCCAGCTCATGGTTGGAGTATTCCTCAGCCCTGGGCAGCTGGGGAGCAGCATCTGCAGCATTCAGGCTCCAGAGATTTCAAACCCAGTTAGGATCCAGCAGGTGACTGGTCACAGACAAGCTGCAGAGCACAGATAGAGGCTGGTTGGTTGAATTATCCCATATGAGGGAGGTAGAAATGTTTGGGTGATAGGTTTTATTTCAAACCATCTTTTTGCCCTCCCTGCTCTTCTCTTAGCTTTGTGTTCTAGCCTGTCCTGTCAGGGATTGTGTTGTCTGCTTATCCAGCTCCTAAAAGCCAGGGTCCTTTTTTTTTTTCTCATCAACTGTGTCTGAATTTTGCTGTTCCTGGTTTTGTTTTATGGTTGGTTTGTTTGGGGGGTTTTTTTCGTCCTTTTTTTGTTTCCTGTTTGCTGGTTTCTTGGCAACAAATAGTGGTAAAACTGGAGACTACTTAGGAAAGATCATGTGATTTATGAGAAAGGCTGGGAGCTGCAAAGCTGACTGAAGCTGACTGGTGGGAGGTTTGGCTTCAGGCAGAGGGAAAGCTATCAAACATAAAGAACTGTTTGCCTTTCTTAGACAACAAAGATTTATGAAGGCAAATACACTGTGACTGGGTGTTCACAAGCATCAGACTGCTGGTATACCCTTCAGGTCAGAAGAAAATACCACACACAGAGTTTTCACCTGACTGCAGGCATTACATAAGCTTCATGTTCCCATTAGCTCAGAGACAGTTTACAAGACATTGAGAAGATAATGTACGTTTTAAGTTGAGGGACAAGAGATAAGGGCCCCAAATCAGTGTCCAGCAACTAGCCTGGCAAAAGAAACATCACTAACTGAATATGGAAGGGAGATTGATGAGGAATTAAGTTAAACTAATGGTTGCTTTTGTCTCTTTATTGGTGTGTGGTGTCCTGCAACACGTGCATCTACTTTTACTCAACCAGCCTGATATTTATATGGGAAAAAAGTATGGTAAGCTGAACTAATAGAATAGAGGATGGTATGTTAGACCCGCTGGAAAGAGTTGAGAAACATTTAAAGTTATGAGTAATTGCACTCTACTGTAGCTACAATCATAGTTTACTTCTGTTGGTAGCTATTTGCACATACCGTGAAGGAGTACTCAGTACCACCAAAAGGCAGTTTGGTCTTTAAGCATATTGCAATGTAATTTGACATCCTCAGGTCATGCTGACTTTACAAATTAAGAGAGGAAGTAATCCCTGTGTACAGTTTATTGTGCTTGCACGAAATAGGAGTCTGTCAGGCAAGAGTGAGTCTTCTAGGTGCAGAAAAAGAAGTCTTCGATATTGTGAGGTGTTGGCTTGGCAGCTTACAATTCAAAAAGTACCACAGTACTTCAGTATTACCTTTCTTCATTTTAATTCTGAGGTGGATAAAGTGCTAAGGATGCTCAGGTGGATGCTTGTTTCTTTTCTTGTTCATGTTCTTGCTGTAAGACTGTTAAAGATACCATTAAACTGATGAGTGAGTAGCTGTGATAAATCCTGAAAACATACCATCTTTTGTGATAGCAAAATATGACATGGCTAGAAAACTGTGATGACTCTTCTGCTGTATCAGAGTTGATAGTTTAAATCAGTGGAACTTGTCTTCTTAAATGACCTTTTATATATTCTGAAAAGCATGTCCCTGTTACTTCTTCTTAGGAGTCTAAATCTGAGGATACTGAAAAAACCTTAAATTCTTTCCATTTTTACAATCTTACTGAGCACCAAACTTGTTCACATGCTTCATGGCCAAGTGTCTTTGCATTGTTTACATGGAAGTGGTTTTATATTGAGAAGCTGGAAAGTTTCATGGGGAAAGGAGATGTTTGTTGCCTTTCTTTGCTTATATTGTTAGAAGATCATCTCAAAACCAGGCTGGATAATGATGGGGACTCTTCAACTCATTAGCCAGTTTGTCTCGGTTTAAATGCATTACTGTTGGTCCAGCATGAGGAGTCATTACTGAATCTGTCCTGCTGCAGTTTGATCTTTTTATTTCTTGCCTGGTCCTCCACGTCCACTGCAGACAGTTTGTCACTTCTTTTGCTGGTCTTTGAAGACAATTCTTGGTCTTCTGGCCCTAAATAAACCCTCTACTTTTACAGATCATGTTTTTCAGATGTCTCTTTATCCCTCTTGTCAAGGTACAGTGATTTGCATGATCCTCAACGTGCAGTGCTCAAAACTGGGTGTAAGACCCTGCCAGCAGTGACAGATAGATCATGAATTAATGCTGTTGCTTTATAATTCAAGTATAAAAGTGACAATAAGCAGTTGCTTTGTGAAGCCTCATGCAGAGGAAATTATTACTCATTTCAGCCTAAATTTTAAGTACCTTTACATCAGGGAGGAGCAAGTACTTTCACAGGTAATTGGCTCTTATGGCTTATATGAGTTTGGTTAAAAGGAAGGCACTTGTTTCAGCCCTGCAGAGTATGCTATGGGGAGAGGAGTTATTTTCACAGCAGTTCTGCTTGCAGGAAGTTCATGTTCCCATGTTTGGTTTTGTTTGTTTTGTTATTTCCAGCTGCAAGACCTGAATTCCCAGAAGCAGCAGACATACACCATTTTGGATCTAGTGAGAACCCGAAATATCCTCACTATCACGATTATGTCAGTGATTATTTGGTAAGCAAGTGTGGGTCAGGAGTATGTAAGCAGAAAAGCAGCAAAACAATTAAAACCTGCTCTTTGAAAACAGAGGTGCTCTGAGGAGATTCGTACAAAACCAGCTCAAAAGCCAGTGACCTGCTGGCTGAAGCAACAATAATCTGGTTATGTAGGTTCTTAATCTCAGTAACAGTCTAGAAGCACATCTGGATTGTTACTCCTTTCTGAAGCAGTCAGGCATATCCTGAACTAAGGCAGAATCGGATCAGCTGGTGATGATGTGTGGGAATCCTGCCTGATATTGGGCCTTGGGGAATGCTCTTCTGACTGTAACAAAGTCTTCAAAGAGGAGTAAGTCATGCCCTGTCCTCCAGTCGGAGAACTACAGGGTTCTGAACGCATCCATGTCTGACTTAGGGGAAGAATCTTCCCATCATTTTTGTGTTGTCTCTTAAAGGGATAAAGCTGCCTTTGAACTTTTAATCTGAGATTTCCCTGGACTTTTCTGCCAGCTGCTCTGTCTCCCTGCCATCTTCAGCAGGGTTTTGCACTACCTGAAGCCGTACTTGGATTAAACAGTTGTCATTCTCCTTTACCAGAAATCTCATCTCTCTTCTGAGCTCAGAAGAGAGAAAACAGAGAGAATAACTTACAGCCTACCAGAGGCTATAAAAGTGAGGTTTAATTAGTGCATGTACCTACAGTGTCCTAACCAAGAAGGTCCCTCAAGTGCTTTGGGGCTAACTAAGTTTATTTGCTGCCTTTTTGAACAATGTTTAGTGGGGCAAACCTTCGGAGGTCAGTTCACTGAGCTGCCAGCACGTACAAGCTGATGTGGCTTTTTGGGTCAAAGGATGACTTGGCTAATATTTAAACCAGATTCCAATGCCCATCACCAAGAATATCAATACAGTTTCCATATACTGTTGTTTTACCTCCAAGTCCAATTGCTGATTCTCACCTTTAATTGGAAGTAAGCTAGGGAATCAAGAGTGCCTGACTTCTAATCCATATGGAGAAGGTCAGTAGTGAGTTCCTAGGCACAGCTGTTTTTCATGTGTGGTTGTAGAAATCAGATGCAAAACACAAACGAACAGCATTTGTGGTAGGACAAAGCATCTGAGAGAGCATGTGGCAGTATGTGATCCATTCCATATGCTGGGGGGCTTTTTACCACATGATAAATGAAGTTTTATGAGAGGAGGAGGAGTCAAACCTGTACAACTGACAATCCTCTTACAGAAAGTATTCAGTTGATTTGGGCATTTTTTTCCACTGTTTTTACCTTGCATGTCAGTTGCCTGACCTCCTTTTAATTGATTTCCCTAAATATAAAGCACCATGCGCTGACTCACAGCAATGTTTTCCAGTTCAGAGTATACCAATGGTATATTCTGCATTATGAATCAAAAGCTCTCATAAAAGAAGCTCTGTAAAAGAGGGTGGTTGTAGGGTAGCAGTGTATCATCTTTACATATTGCCAAATGTTTTGTTAAGTTTGAGTAAGCAACAGACTAATCCCTTTGCTGGGTTTGCATCAGGGAGGAGGAAGTTTGGCTTCTTCTCACTCTGGGATGTGTAAATACCTCTAAAGTTTTCCTAGAAAATGTATAACTGTGTCAAGATCTGCCAATGTGATAAGCTGAGGCAAACTGCTACTGCAAGTGAGTTCCAGCAAGCACAGCTTATTGTGTATAGAAATAACTTGTAGGAGCAGAGTGTTGTGGAAAACACTGAGTAACTACTTCTGAGAAGAATAGCTTTAGCTGGCAGGGCACACTTAGCAGCGGGGGGTCACCCTCAGCTTTATGACTTCATTCTTTCCCAGGTACACTGCAACTTATTTTAAGCAATTGGACCATGAAGGCTCTTCCATGTGCAGTGAGGCAGAGGAAGAGCTGATTATTGTCACTGGCTCACATTGTGCTGTGCAGTGATTTTGCTCCAGTTCTGTTCTAACACAGATGCTGAAGAAGATAAAGTGCTGAGTGCTTTGTACCCACCACTGCACCTGGACAAGTCCTGATCCAGTGCCCATTATTTCCTTGGTTACTGTGTGTTGCTGGTGAAGCATGACCTTTTCTTCCCAGCATCTCCCAAGACATGACAGGATTTGTCTCTGAGGCCAGTTGTGTGTTTCCCTTGATCGTGTGGGAGCCAGCCCTCATCTGGCAGCAGCACAATTAAGGTGGCGGCGTTCCTGGCCACCAGGCTCTGTCCTGCACTAATCAGTCCAGGCACTGAGCCATGCAGACATGACTTGGATGCTGCCCAGCCAGCCTGGGGCATGGCACAGAGAATCCCAGATTGTTTGGGTCTGCCATGATGCTGTATTCATTCTCTCTGAATTTATACACAAAGCATGGAGGGTAACGATCCAGAAACAGTGTTCTTCACCCAGAGCTCCCTGGTAAACATAATGAAAAGCTACTCAGCAGCAGTAAAATTCAGTAGTCCAAACTTTCAGTTTAAGGCTGTAACTACTAGTAGTAGGAACTGGTGTATCCCTGTGTTGGGAATGGTCATCACTTATCTCGCAGGGGTGGCTTGATATATGGAGGAATACGTGAGAAGTAGTCAGCCCCTCTCCATCAGCACAGTAAGCAGAGACAAGTGAGATGTCTAAAAGTGACAAATGCCTGGAGCTTCCTTGCAAGGTCTGAACAAGAGTGGGATGGAAAGTTGCACAGTCATGCAATGATATCAGAAAGGAAGTATGACCTCTCTAGCTGCAGGACCATCCAGCACCCAAAACCATGGCCTTGTAGGCCTGTGCCTCAGCGAGGGTAGCAACAGCTCTGGAGTGACCTCATTGTGGTAATGCTGAATAGGATATTTTTAATCTTTTAACATATATTTTATACTTTGAATTCAAGAACAACTTGAAAGATAAAATGTATCAGCACCGTTAAGTTGCTGTCTTGCTGTTTCTGAAGTCAGTGCTTTAGCTGCTTCAGAGGTGAGTGAATCTGGCAGATGCTGAATTTGCCTTACAGAGTGGTTTCTGTGCTTAACAGATGTAAGAGGTTCACAGCAGCCTCACGAAGAAGAGGAATTTGTCTGATCCTGTTACTCTGCTTCTTTCAGGATGATAATCTCTGTTGGTTATTTTGGACTGTCTCTTGACACACCTAACCTGCATGGAGATGTCTATGTGAACTGCTTCCTCTCAGCAGTGATTGAAGTTCCAGCCTACATTATTTCCTGGCTGCTGCTTCGAAATCTCCCGCGACGGTACTCAATGGCTGCTGCGTTATTCTTGGGAGGCTGTGTTCTTCTCTTCATTCAGCTCGTGCCTTCACGTATGGAATCATTAGTTGATCTCAGATATGTATGATGGGTGAAGTGCAGTACCCTGCACTGGGCAGATGTGGAGGAAAAGTGTCCTGAGGGGACTAAATACAGATGTTCATTTCCTGTCTTTGTCCCTCTTCCTTGGTTCTCCGTGCTGCTGCACAAGGAGCTCACACAACATGTCAATTCAGATACATTTTGAAAGGTGGGTCATTGGCTTTGTGGTCTCTTGGGATTAGCATTGTAGTCCAGATTCATCTTTCATGCACATCTCTCGCAAGGTGCCTTGGTATGGTCCAAGTGTAAAACCAGGACTAGACAAACCAGAGTTTGATAGGAGGTTACCAAGAGGCTGCGGAACTTACCTCCCAAGCCAGCTGTCAATGACTGTCTCTTTATTGCTTGTTTCAAGAGTTATATTCAAGGGAGTCATTGTGGAAGCATTTTTGCTTGGCAAAGATGCTTGTACTGAATTGGTGTCAATAATTAAGGTAATGTTTGGCAACTGGAAAGGAGGACAAAATAACATCTATTGGATATCAAACCATATGTATCTTCAGGACAGTTAGATTAATAGGGTTATGGACTCATTGCTGATAACGATGTGGAATATGATGGGGGTTGTTGCTGCTTAGCACTTGTTTACAAATCAAAGCATAAACGAGAGTGCACAAGAGCTGCCTTGCTTATGTTATACAGGTAATAGATGAGTTGTGAATTGATTGGACACCAATATGATCTGTTTGCATTTTCAACTCTGTCCCAGTTGAAGTCAACCCAGCTTCCTATAATTAAATTATTGACTTGCAGCTAAGAATGTTAATGAGAAACCAGAACAGGAAACCAAAAATAACTTCTTTCAAATGTTTAACTTGGTTCACTTTATTAAAAAGGGCTAGAGAGCAATAGCACGGATCTGAAATTCGAGAGGACCTCTCCACTTCTTGCTCTGTTCTCCTTATTCTTTGCTTGGCAGGAAGCCCCCTGCTCAAGAGGAAATTAAAATGTTGAGTCCTAATAATTAAAAATTAAAATATTAAAATGTTGCCCGTGCTTTTGTAGAGATGTACAGGGAAAAACGATGCCATATACTAGGAGTAATTAGACAGGAGTCACACAAACACAGCGGAATTGAGAGAGGCCGTGAAGTGTCAGAGCTTTATTGAAGTCCTTACTGCGTTTTGATTTCAGATATTCGTCCACTGTCTATTCTGCTGGTGATGCTGGGGAAATTTGGGATCACATCTGCCTTTTCAATAGTTTATGTTTACACGGCTGAGCTCTACCCAACCGTAGTGAGAAACATGGGAGTTGGAGCGAGTTCCATGGCCTCTAGACTGGGCAGCATTCTCTCGCCTTACTTCGTTTACCTCGGTAAGTTAATGACTCTGTGTGGGGGGGGGAGATGCTGGTGAATGGAAAATGCTTTCTACCTACATCAGTGTCCTGCCTCGCAGGTCATTGGGCTATTCTGCTGTTGAAGAGATGCTTTGAAGACTCACAATGTGATTGCATGAACAGGGATAGCTCTTACAGCTGTTATTTCCCAGTCTCTTGAGTTCCGTAACCCACATTTATAACAACAGTGCTTTGAACACCGGACTATGAAGGGGGCTGGCTGGTTTGTTTTCTACTGAAGGCATAAATCTTGCATGGATAAAGCCCTGTACCCAGGTACAAGCATTATCAGAGACTTAGAACTGATACTAACTAGCTTGCTTGTTTTCAATGTATTCTGCTAGGTGCCTATGACCGATTCCTGCCTTACATCTTGATGGGGAGCCTGACTGTGCTATCAGGAATTCTGACTTTATTTCTGCCAGAAAGCTATGGTATGCATCTTCCAGACACAATTGATCAGATGCTGTTGGTGAAAGGGTAAGTGTTACGGTGCCACCCTCTGATCTTAACACATCTGTTATCTATGTGGAGAAGATGAATGGACTTCCCCAAGTATTGCCAGAGGGAAGGGCTGGTTTTGGTAGTGCAGTTAGTGCAGGGTTGAAGACAAAAGAGCTTGGCTGGAGTCCTGATTCCACTTCCCAAGTGTGTATGTTTTGTACATCTAAGCCTCAAATTTATCATTTTACTCTGAAGGCTGAATGAAAAGTACATGAATGCATTTAAGTGTATTAAATGTACAGTAAAGTTTGCTTTATAAGAAGTATGGGACACTTTGTGGGTTATAATCTATCTTCCTAGGTTCTAAAAGTCATATAAGTACTGGTGAAGGGCTGAACTCTTCCAGTTCAGTTCAACTGGCCTAAAAATGCACTGAGAGCCTTTGGCCTTTTGCCAGTGCTCTGAAGGTGGCCATGAGTATACACCTTGTGTAAGAAAGGGACTTGTCCAACTGAAGCCAACAGGATATTGAAATCAGGCAGCTGTAATGTCAAATAGGGCTCACGGTATCAAAGATTCTTTTTTCTGTTCCCCATCTATTTTTTTAAGTGATTTTTCTTTCTTTTTTTCTTTATTTCCTTTTCTTTTTTCCCCAGATTAGAATACAGACCTGCATCTAGAAACAAAAGGGATTCCAAAGAGGAAGAAGAAAATCCAGAGATCTTTAAAAGCACAGCATTTTGATGGAACTACTGTGTACTTTCCTGGTGCACTGAAAGTTAAATGGACTCTTTCTTCTAAACTGCATTCTAGAAAGGGCTAGTGGCAACACTTCCTGTAATTTTAACCTTATTTATTAATTTAAACACTGTGTTCCATACATTCTCTTTTTATATGAGCAGTAGTGTATAGCCTTCAGTGAGATTTGTCAGCCATAGCTGGTTTAATAGAGCAATACCATGGAACAGTATCTGAGCAATCCTTTGTAACTTTAAGTGTGTAGTTCAGCTGATGGATACTTGAAAATGAGTTCAAGGGCTGGCAGGTACCTGGATTCCTCAGTGAACCTTCCCCACAGCTAATGCACGTAAAGAAGTCAAAATTGCCAGAAAAAGCTGCTGATTGGGTTTGATTCCTTGACTTCTGTCTCTGGACAGGAAACTTATTTATTACAGTGGAGGGGATGAGAACATGGCCCTGATCTCACTCAAATGACTTTGCACATGTTGGATTTGTTACCAAATTCAGGAAGATGCAAAGAAAGATTTTGAGAATGAATTGGAACGTGGTGTGTTCTCACTCAGCACAGATGGAAAGGGTTGTCTTGCACAAACTATTTGTAAGCACTGAAGCTTTGCACACAAAGTTCACTTGATTCCAGTGCTGGTTTTCAACTCTACCTGCACGGTGAAGCTGTTTACATCTGGCCCTGCCTCTGGACTGCTCCAGGCTGGATTTACTTTAAATGATGCAGAAGGTTTTGTCTGTGTGTGAAGGGGAGAAGTGGTCTTTTGGGGTTGTTCCACTTTGATGGGTGGTGGAAGTTCTGTGTCTATGTTGTTTTAACGTCTTCTGTGCAATTTAGATGACGGAAACAATTCTCCTGTCCTTGTTCTATGCTTTTCACACATTCACATGCACACAATTAACATGTTTAGCTATGTTTTGTGTTAATCTGTGCCACTGTATTTGCCTCATGGTGGAACGTACTGAGAACAAACTTCAGAGCATGGTTGTGAGCACTGGCTCTCGATTCTCAAGTGCCAACACTAAACTGCTGTGAGGTCTGCTGTTTCACTTAACTGTCATGTAATCAGTGAATTGTTTTCAAATTGCTTAAAGAAAAGAAAAAGATCTTCTTGACAATCTGCCAAGAAATTGTTCATTGAGTCGTGGGAGCACCCTTGGCATTACCTTTGTTTCTTTAAATACATACAATATATCTGTACACCCAGTCTCGTTTGTGCTGTTCTGATTATACTTTGACAGATGTGAATGGTGAAAGATTTCTCGCTTGTAGCACTTGTCTGTGTTTTGTTCTGTCTTGTTGAGACTTAATAAACAGAACCTAAACCTTTGTAGCCAAAGCTTTTAGGGGCTTTACTCTGCTGTGGCAGCTGGTTGTGGGAGATTTCATCGAATCACAGCCTGGTTTGGGTTGAAGAGACCTTAAAGCTCATGAGCTCCAAGCCCTGCCCCGGGCAGGGACACCTTCCACTAGAGCAGGTTGCTCCAAGCCCCTGTGTCCAACCTCCCCTTGAACACTGCCAGGGATGGGGCAGCCACAGCTTCTCTGGGTACCCTGTGCCAGCGCCTCGGCACCCTCACAGGTCACAGACACAACCAGACTGGTTCTGTCTTCTAAATACAGTAGATGTTGGCTGATTCCAGTCTCTCATTAACCAAGTCCTTGGTTTCAGCAGTCGAACTGATGTGTGCCCTCTGGACTACTTGTTGTAGAAACAAGAAAGCAGAAAACACCATGTAGACTATACTGGTTGGTTTGTTTAAGCTTTCTGCCAGTGTCTTGAGCTGCAGGGTTTGCTCCCCTTTCCCTGGATTTTTGCCCCTTCTTGTTTAGTTTCTGGATGCAGCAGGAAGTTGGCTGGTGTTACCAGGTTGTACCATTAGCTCTTCCAAGGAAAGAAAACCAAACGTTTGGGCAGGTTCAGTGTGATTCCTCTTTAATAAGCTGACACGTTTAAAATGTAGTGTGGGATTTGCAGCTAGTGCAGAAATAGAGAACAAATTTTGCAAGCCTCGCTGCACATCATACAATAGCCCTGACATGAGCAAATACATGGCAGGAGAGTGCATTAGCAGCCAGTCTCCCCTGCCCAAAAGATATGATGCAATTTCTCAGGCTTACCACCTTCATGAAATACTCACTGCAAACTTAAGAGCCTGTTTTAAAGCCTGGTACAGATGTTTTCCTTTGTAAACCTTATTTCTAGGAGCTGGAACATTTAGAAGCTGCTTCTTTTCTGTGTGTTGCAGAAGAATTATCTGATAGCTGGAGGAATCTGAGGCAAAAAACACATTGAGCTGCAATTTCCTTCCAATGACCTTGCCAGTGTAAACAACTGTGGCCTGTAAGTCTCTTCCTGTAAACTGCTTCAGAAAATAATCCTGAAATGTAAGATCCAAGTTCGCCTGAGACAGGAGCAAGTATGGGAATTCCTGTCCTAAAACACAGAGTTCATTTAAGGTCCGATTTAGCTGTTGTTTCTTATCCACTGTTGTCTCCAGGTATGTGCCTTGTCAGAGGGACTTTTGTTCGTGAATATTTAAGTATTGTGATGTTTACTGAAGAGGGAGGGGGGAAGGAATTGGGGGGGTTTATTTGGTTTTGTTTTTAAATGCAGGCAAAAAGGGGAACTTCCTGGTTATGACTAATGCTACAAACACAATGGCAGCCTCTGTGTCAAAAAATACTGGGGGTTTTTTCCTTGCTTACGTTTTTACAAGTACAAGTTGGAAACATGGGCTGTATTTAGTGTAACATTGTGGCTGACTTTGGAATTCCTTTTCTGTCCTGCTCTTTTCAAGTTTATCTCTAAAACGAGCTTGTTCTCACGGGTAAGCAGAATCCAGCTCATAGGTAATGCCAAAAGAAATTGAGGGAATATTTTAGTATAGGTGGGTGATCTGTGTGCAGATGAAAAGTCCTGATCCTGTCACTGGCAAATCTCAGTGGCATCAGTGCTGGCAAGAGGTGAGGCTTGTAGCACTAAGTGTGGCTATACCTGCACAATAAACGCGTGGTGCTGCACCGTGCCTTGAATCCCAATGGAAGTCACACACAGACTGTCCCTTTGGTAAAGAGCTGATGGGGTTTAGTACCAGTATCTGATTGCTCGTGGACACTGGTCTTGCCTAGTGTCTGCTGGCTGTGGCAGAGGGCCTGCTTTCTGCTCCCTGGGAAAGCTGGTGCTTTTGCTGCTGTTGTCTTCAAAGAAGCAATGAGTGATACTTTGTAAGGGGAAAGGGGCAGAATTTCTCTTTGAAAGAGGCATTGTGATAAATCTATGAGCTGCTTGTACTGCAGAGGAAGATAGTTCTGCTTTATAGTCTCACCCACAGAGACTCGTCTTTAATGCTCTCCATGGCCCTGAGCACAGTCAGCACGTGAGGACACTGATGGACTGATGTCTCTGCAAATAAACACCTATTTCAGTATCTGTAGAATAGAACTTTAATCCTGGCAGTTCTGACTGGCTTTCTTAAAGCATAGAATGGGCTCAGGCATCACAATGCCTTACTTCTTACAAATGCCCTTGGGGTACTTTAAGCTAGTGACAGCCACACACAGCCTTGTATATAGCAAGATGTAGAAATGTCTTCTAAGAATGTGAGTGTTCCTACCTGTAACTAGATTGATTCTTACTTGAGTTTTTTGTAGAAGAATGCTTTTTACTTGTAAAATTCAGAATAAAATCCTATCTGGAATTATCTCAAAATTGAACGTTCTCATCTTCATGTTTTAAGGCAGTTTGTATAGCAAAGCTACTTCATTTTTTGGTGATCTTGTAGCTTTACCTTCACTGATCTTGTGTGACACATAATGACTTCTTTCCATAATTCTTTTTCTGAATATTTCTCCAAGCAAAGAGATGGCAACCACGTCCCACAGCCACTGCCTCATTGCCCCCAGTGTGATGGGGAGAGGAATCGGGGAAAAGATAAAACATGTGGGTTGAGGTAAGATCAGTTTAATAATTAAAATAATGTTCTATAGTGTGGAATACCCCTTTGGCTAGTCCAGGTGAGGGGTCCTGGCTCTGCTCCCTCCCAGCTTCTTGTGCCCCTCCTCACTGGCAGTGTCCAAGGCCAGGCTGGTAGAGCCTTGGGCAACATGGTTGAGTGTGAGGTGTCCCTGCCCATGGCAGGGGGTTGGAACTAGATGATCTTAAGGTCCTTTCCAACCCAAACCATTCTGTGAGAGTCTGGAAGTCCTTGATCAGGGTAAGAGCTACTTAGCAATGACCAAACCATCGGTGTGTTCTCAGACTAAAGCCAAAACACAGCACTGCACCAGCTACTAGGAAGAAAACTTGCTCTATCTTAAGGTCCTTTCCAGTACACAAGCTGTGCAAACATCACTGCTCGATTTGGTTTGTGGGGTTCCCCTACATGTGTGACATTCAGCTGTGTGCCTGTGGAGAAGCAGGAGTACCACCAGCGCGGTCAGCTCAGTTTGGTGTATTGGAGGTTTAAGAAACAAGTTAGGGATTCTCCCCCTCTGCTGCGCTCTGTGAGACCTCCCCCCCACCGCAGTCCTGGTCCAGCAACAGCACAAGAGGGACGTGGAGCTGTTGGAGCGAGTCCAGAGGAGGCCCCGGAGCTGCTGTGAGGGCTGGAGCAGCTCTGCTCTGGAGCCAGGCTGAGAGAGCTGGGCTGGGGCAGCCTGGACAAGAGCAGCCCGTGGAGAGCTGCCAGCATCACTTGTGCAACCCTGGCCGGCCGCTGGGATCCAGGGCTGAGCCCTCCCCTTGCTCTTCCCTTGCAAAAAAACCAGCAAACCAAACCAAACCAGGAACGTGACATCCCCACGGCCTACAGCAGCCTGTGTGCTGGGGCACTGCCTAGATTTGGAGTCATTCTTGTGTGCTGTGAGCTGCATTCTGCACAGCCCTGTGGGGGAAAAGTGCTTCTGAGAAGCGAACCAAAACAGGGGCTGTGCTCTGAACCCCCTGAGCTGGCTCCTCTGGTAGAGCTTTACTTCGAGGCAAGGTAAATAACAGGAGTGATGAGCAGGAAATGCCCAAGAACCCCAGATGACTGACCACATTTCTGGAGAAAACAGCTTTGAAGCATGCAGTCCTGGAGCAAGCAGGACTAGAGCAGAACACTTAGGGAGGAGGCTCCTTGGTCCTGCTAATTGCTCTTGCTTCCAGC